TTTTAGACGGTCTTATGGGTAGCTTTACTGAGTATATACCTGATTGCAAGGATGGATCGTACAGTCGACCCTATACTTTGGCCCTCCCAGCTCCAAAGCTCGCTTGTTTTACCAATATACAAAAGTATATATCTTTTTTGATATTTCTCGTTGTTGCTGAGTTAACACTTGTTGTTGTTCTTCTTCAGCAGAAAGAAAAAGATCTTCTGGATGACCTCGTTGATTATCCGTTCCCACTTGTATATGAAAAGGTTGGTCAATGTCGTTCTTATTGGACATTTTTTCGGTAGAAATATACTAATGAAAATCTAAAATAAAAATGAAGAAATAACCTGAACTATCATGCTAACATGTATATAAAAAGAGAAGAAAGAAAGTGATTAGACAATTGTACGTTCACATTTATTGAAAGAAACCATAGAATATGTAGTAAATGTCAAGAGTAAATAAAACAGAAAGATATAAATAATATACGAAATCAACTGTAACGAAAAGCTAGACTCAAATTCATTTTAATTGTAGTTCATTTATATGGGAGAGCTTGACATAGTGGAATCACGACGTATGAATGTTACATCAAAATAACTGTTTCCTTTTTCGCTCTTTGATTTTATATTATCCCCAGACAATTAAGTAAGTATAATAAAAATGATAGATAAAAACTTGATTTCGCTTATAAATATGTATATATATACCACCAGACAGATCAGAGTTCACTAATTTTAAATATTTTTCAAGCTAAAAATTCATATAACAATTGGAAACATGATTAACTATGACGGAAAGTAAATTGCAAGAAATGGGTAATCATCAAAGAAAAGCTTGATTACTATGTTTTTAAAACATATTTATATCTGTTTATTATTTTCTTTTGCTGCTTATAAAATACAGCAGAATACTGTCAGATCTGTGTACTTCTAAAAATTTTCTCTGTTGGCGTATCTGCACAAATATTTCTAAGTCCTGCAGCGTCGCTTACATCAATTTCCATATCGACAGTGGTAGTTCCCCCATTTAACAATCGCATTCCTACATCATACGACAGAAAAAAGGCCGGAATTGTTGTATTCAAACTATTTCTTATGTTCGATATTAACAGACAGTATTGAAGTTTCGACAAGAACTTCAACATTTTGGATCCGCAAAATGTCTAAAGCAAAAGCTTTATTCAATAAGCAAAGATTATCTCAATGCTCTTCTTCAAGGTATACCTTCAGTTGCCGAAAGACAACGTATCAAACTTATACGCGTCAACTCGTGTTCGAGTATGATTTGAGCACCGAATCGAGAAAAAATGCATCTCAGGATGAGTAAATGCTCGTTGTTTCTTTTTTTATTGTTTAGCGTGCTCATTTATTTATTCCTCGATTACTAATCGTGATATAAAATGCTACTGTAACTTATTTCATCATAAAAACACGAAAGAGCATAACAATAAATTATAACACGGCAAACAATTTATAGTATTCATTAGAAAAACGTCATTCAGAAAGAAAATAAATAAATAAATAAATAAGTTTGCACCAAAAACCTTATTGTTTTTTGTCACTTCAGATTCATTAAACAACTCACTCATATATGGGTCAATCTTTATTTACTATCAGCATTGACGAGCTTTGCATTCGGCACCAATTCGCGAATCTTTTCCACAATTTAATCGAAATATCAGGGCTGCGTGATCACTAATAGGTTCGGTGACATCAATCAAGGAAGATGACTTGTCATAGCCAGATGCCACAAAGCCGTGACTTGCTATAACTCGATCGAGTGTTAACCCTCCAATATGAGTACGATCAGAAGACATGGGCACCCAATCGGCGCTACCCCGGGCAAGCATCAAGATTTCTTCAAGACGTTCTCTGTCCGTTCGATTATTCTGTCCCCAGTTGAAATCACCAACCATACACCATCCAGAATATGATGCATCTGCATTTTTGTCAGTATACCAGGCAGGTAAATGAACCAATCTGTCCTCAATTTCCTTATTGATCCTTTCAAATTCTGCTGTGCCTGAATAAATAAAAAAAATATATAAAATATTTGAAAGTTCATATAATAGCCGCCAGTTCTGCGTATATTTTTACTAAATTATGGTACCTTCATTTTTGAACTTAGAAGGTCGTCGGTAAATCACAGTAAAACCAAATTTCCGAATCTGAATCCCATTACGACACTTGAAACATCTGATTGGATACAAAAAGTCAAAATTGACGACATTGTCTGCATAACTCTACTCTCTGCAGGATTTTCTTTAAACTGTATCCTATCAGCACGCAAACCGTTTAACTCTTTCCAAGCTACAAGGATGCCACCGCCACGACGTTTTGCGTATTGTGCATTTGTCTCATCACGATATGAGTTTTCAGGATCTTGGCCGCTGCATCGATCCCGACGAACTATTTTATAACCCTGTAGTTGAAGTGAGTCTCTGATGTCCTTGTCGCTGTGCTTTTCGTTCAGCCAGCTCTCCACAATTGCAATAACATCAGGTTGATTGTAGAATATCAGGCTACTTAATTGATCAATTTTTTGTCTCATCTTATCATTGTTTGGATTCATGCTTCTAATGTTGACATACAAAACAGAGATTGTTGCATCGTCGCAAATGCACGGTTCCGATGACGAGCGCCGATGAACATTTTCTGCTTTGCTTGATTCAATAGTTCTGCTTGGAACAGACTCTTCCGAGGACTCGCGCTCACGTGTCGGAGAAGTTTTGCGAGTCTTTACTTTTTCCAACATTTCAATAGTTTCACTAGTTAAATAATGCCCGACAGCAGCGCAATAACCGCCAGTGTGATATCCGGCAAAACCGCCTCCCACAGCCCCACCGACCATACCAGCTCCTGGACATATTGCGTTACCAACAATTCCCCCAGTAATACCTCCTATAACAAAAATTGTATATTATCTACGACTCTCATCCTATCAGTTTAGACTATTTTTGGACCGTTCTCAAGCTCAGAATTTGTTTGTAATCAACATAGCATGAGATCCGTTTTCGTGTGTCACTTTCTTGATACAAAGAAAAGTCACCATTGTGATATTGTCCGGGAAATTAAATATGAAAATAGTACGGTTAATATAATTCAAAATTTAAGCCGACGTTTTGTTTGTTTTATTACACACATAGTTCGAAAGAGCTTGGTGGGCTAATGAAGAATATGTGTGATTCATTTTTAAATGACATTTACAGGAACAAGTTTCAGTTTTTCCGGATAGTTCGTTTTTCGTTTTTCGTACCCACTACAGCCCCAGCTGTTATGCCAGCCTCTCTTGCGATCTCTCTGCCTTCTTCGCCCGGAATAACAGTTGCCGTAACCACGCCTATAGCCGTACCACCTGCAGCACCAACTACAGCACCAGCTGCGCCTCCAGCTATAGTACCAGCTGCTACTGGAAGCACCAGTACCACAGGCGCACCTGCACCAACTGAAGTTGAACCAGTTGTACCCACGCTTCTACCGAATGAAGTTGAACCAGTTGTACCCACGCTTCTACTGACTGAAGTTGAACCAGTCGTACACATGTTTCTACTGACTGAAGCTGAACCAGTTATTGCATTCACGAAATGCATCATTTTAAAATATCTTTCAAACGAAAAATGGATTCAATTTCACTTGCACGCAGACGATTGTAAACTCTTATTTCGGCGTCGGTGTGAATTGACTTCTGGTATTATAAAACTTCAGAATAATAAGCAATTACACAAGTGAAGTAGTATGGGGTAATTCGGGCCCCTTGCACGAAGTTTCTTAGTATTTTGCGTATTTCTAAGCCGTTTTTGATCGGAGAAGCTTGCTATTGAATATGAAGATAGAACTGACAGTTCTCTATCCATTGATGTAAAAATTTCCTAAAAATCCTTCTCAGTTTTCGAGCAGTATTCAAACGGAGACGAGGACCTCCAAGCTGGCCCGAATTCCCCCATATGGGGTAATTCGGGCCGATAAGCTATTTTGTTTGGGTAATTCGGGCCGGTCCATTCAAATACATGGAGTTTCCTGAATCAAACCTCTAGTGATTTCCTGGGGGAGATTTGTGACATGCTCTTTAGGTAGAAGTATCCGTCATATCATTACCTACAACATATGCGAAAATTGCATCTCAATACCTTAAGATCAGCAGGATCTATGATCTTGAAGATTTTGATGTAATTTTACACATATTTTGGTAATGAATTTACCTAGTATTTTTACAAGTGCTCATTAATTGTGAGCAATTTATGAAAAAAAAACCAATATACATATTATGGATTTTACTTTTATGAGTTAAACAAAAAAAAGAAGGGTAGCGCTATTGCCACTCTCTGAGAGTGTCAACAAGGGCTATTGCCACTCTCTGAGAGTGTCAACAAGAACTATTGCCACTCTCTGAAAGTGTCAACAAGGGCTATTGCCACTCTCTGAGAGTGTCAACAAGGGCTATTGCCACTCTCTGTGGGTGTCATAAGATTCATCTTTATTTAATAAGAATTAAAATTAAAAAGTTTTTATAAAAATAAAGTCGACGTTTCGATTCGTCGCCACTGATTCATGCTGACCTCCACAACTTCAATAACCAATTGTGCCTTAGGAAAAACAATGTTAGAGCTTCAATGTTAAGCAATTCAT